TATATATATATTTCAGTTCTCTACCTTCCTCTTTATTCCAATTGCCACTGTCCTAATTAAAGCCATATGGCCTTTCTGGTCTATAGCAATAATGCCTTAACTGATTTCCTATAACCATTCCTCCTGTCCTTCAATCTTTCCTTCCTTCACACTGTTGTCAATAATATCTTCTAAGACATGCATGTGTTTGGTCATTCCCCCATTTAAATAAATCAGTGTCTTTCTCTTAATTGCCATAGAAAACCTTAAAATTTCTTGAAGTGCCACCCAACTAACTTTGCAATTATTCCTTAGAGACCTGGGTTGTCTACTGCTCCTCTCCCCCCATTCCAAACTGTCCACATTGCCATCAACATGTCCATTCACTTCCCCAAATTTTCACATCTTTTTCCTTTTTCTGTTTCCTCTATCTGAATTCCCCAACAGTCTGTCTAATGAAATTTTTAAATATTTGGTCCAAATTTTAATTTTTTGTAAAGTCTTCTCCAGACCTCTGCTTTTTGGTACCTCCATATTTCTTTTTCGGCCTGTATGTCAACAGTCAATGTGCTGAATAGCTAGAAAGCATGAATCCACCCTGTAAAAGAATAGCTCTTTGAAGGCAAGAGTGTTGCTGTTTCAAATATTAAATGGTCATATTCATTATAAAGTCAAGTATGATGTTTTGTACCCTGGGAGCTTTTGAACAGTTAAGTATTTCTGATGTATTTTTTAAAAAGTTCTTAATTACAGTCTCTTCAACAGTGGTGTTGGGAAAATTGGACAGCTACATGAAAAAGAGTGAAACTGGATCACTTTCTTATGCCTTACACAAAATAAACTCAAAATGGATGAAAGACTTAAATGTGAGACCTGAAACCATAAAAATCCTAGAAGACAGCACAGGTAATAATTCTTTGGCATTGGCCATAGCAACATTTTTCTAGTATGTCTCCCAAGGCAAGGGAAACAAAAGTAAAATTAAACTATCTGAACTATATCAAAATAAAAAGCTTTTGTATGGCAAATAATCAGCAAAACAAAAAGACAACCTACTGAATGGTAGAAGATATTTGCAAATGACATATCTGATAAGGGGTTAATTTCCAAAACATAAAGAACTTAATATGACTCAACACCAAAAAAACAAATAATGGGCAGAAGACATGAACAGACATTTTTCCAAAGAAGACAAATGGCCAACAGACACATGAAAAGATGCTTAGCATCACTCATCATCAGATAAATGCAAATGAAAGCCACAATAAAATATCATCTCACACTTGTCAGAATGGCTAAAATCAGAAACACAAGAAACAACAGGTGTTGGCAAGGATGTAGAGAAAAAGAAACCCTTGTGCTCTGTTGGTGGGAATGCAAATTGGTGTAGCCACTTAAAAATAGAAATACCACATGATCCAGTAATTCTACTACTGGGTATTTACTCAAAGAATATGAAAACACTAATTCGAAAAGATATATGCACCCTTGTGTTTATAGTAGCCTTAATTAAAATAACCAAGAAGCAACTCAAGTATCCAATGGTAGATGAATGGATAAAAAAGGTGTGGTATAAACATACAATGAAATATTACTCAGCCATTAAAAAATAATGAAATCTTGCCATTTGCAACAACATGACGGATCTAGAAGGTAAAATGCTCAGCAAAATAGGTCAGTATGAGAAAGACAAGTGCCATATGATTTCATTCATATGTGGAATTTAAGAAACAAAACAAACAAAGGAAAAGAGACAAACAAAAAAACAGACTCTTAACTATAGAGAACAAACTGGTGGTTACCAGAGGGAAGGTGGGTGGGGGATGAGTGAAATAGGTGAAGGGGATTAAGAGTACACGTACTGTGATGAACACTGAGTAATGTATAGAATTGTTGAATCACTATATTGTATGCCTGAAACTAATATAACACTGTACATTAATTACAGTGGAATAAAAAATAAATAAAAATAATTTTTAAAAAGTGCTTCATTACTTAATTACCATTCAGTTGATGTCTCTCAAATTCAGAAACTTATTTCTTAATTGAGACATAATGTCTATATAGCTTTTAAGAGGCACTTTTGGAGCATTAATATTCTGGTTACCTAACTTGAGGTTTAATTCTGTAGTCAGATTTAAATTAAAAAAGCACTGTTCTAGCCCTCTCAGTCTCTATAATCATATAAGACAGAATAACATGGCTGGAATCTGGATTTCAAATCTGACACAATAAAACCTATATATTCTTCAAAATTTGGGTTACCCTGCCAGTTTTATTAGTTCCTTAAATTTAGTTATGAGCTTCCCATTTTAAAAAGCAGTTAAAATATTATTAAATAGGAATTTCAAGTATATCATCTAGGCATACAAAGAGTGTAGTAGTTATTTCCTATTTTATGCTTTATTTCATATTATTTTGTTCTTTTAGTAGATCATATTTGTTGGAATTTTTATAAATATATTGCATAAAATTTATATAATAATTTTAAACACTACTTTCCAAGGTTAGAAATAATATGCATAATAGAAAAATCTTATCTACATTGTTTTGTAACTTGAAAAGTTGCTTCAAGTTATACATTTATAAAAAGAAAAAAGAAAAGAAAAGAAGGCCTTGAAAAAAATGAAAAAAATTATACATTTTCCAATTAGAAAGTGGAGTTGGAAATACTGCTTTTCCTGAAATGAACAATTTATTTTCAGACACGATAGACTTTTATTTTTATGAAGGTTTTTGGTCAAATTAAAAGATCGATACTGCTACCTTATATGTCAGGGTTTCAGAGATTAATTTATTTTCTTTAGCACTGTATTTCTTTGTTGGAAAAATTAGTGAAAATATCATCAATAAAGTAATATAGAGCATTTCTACAGTGCAAATATAATAAGGGCATAATATGTTTAATTCATAATATTAAACTTGCATCTCTTTTGGAGTAATTGAATACAGCGAAGTTTCAAAACAATCTAATAGAAAATGAAATAAAAGGGAACTAAATAATGGATTTGCCTCTTCTACAATAATGTGTAAGGTTAGAGAAAGAGGAGAGGATAAAAACCTCTCCTCTTGAATAATTTTACTGATTTACTTTTCATTGAAGGTGACTGTCAAATTAGTCAATGGTGAAGGTTTTGTTTGAAAAATAAGAGAATATTGTATAGTTTTACAAATTATTAGCTTTCAGATAGCTGAAGAAAGACTCTGAGATTGAAATCCTTGAAACAATAACCAAAAAGGTCAATGGAATGAACTGGTTTTGGGGAATTCAGAAATGCTTAAACTATTCATGAGTTAAGTTTAGATCTATAATCTACAGATGATAGTTTGGTTCTAAAGTTTTAGCCTTTTATTCCTGTTCCCATTCTCCCCAAGTATCATTCAGAAAAAAAGTTTAGAGTGTACTTATGTATCTCCAGAGAAACCTATCTTGTTCATTTGCAAATATGATCAGGTCATTCCATAACATTTGCTGTGAGGAAAAAAAAAAAAAGTCATTTCATAACCATTGGTTCTCACTAGCACTGACTTAATAGACTCACCATTGGCCTATACAGAACTCCATTTAAAAGAGATAATTATTAAGCATCAAGAATACCTCAGGCAAAGGCAGATTTGTTGTGAGGGCAATCAGGACTTGGGCCTCAAGCCTGATATGAAAGTCCCAGTACAATGGAAGAAAGAAAAAAAACAGTCAAATATAAGAAGGTTTTTGTTGTTGTTTTGTTTTTTTGACCAGGCACTCAGATAAAGCAAATACTTCTCAACTAAATGATGATGTTAAATTTGGAAAATGACAAGTGTGAGCAGAAAATTAGGAAAACAAAAACAAAAACAAAATATTATTCTTATAATATTAAAAACAATACAAGTTAACAATCTATATTGGAAAAGGACACGTAAACTTACAGTTGTTGTATAAGCAGCTTCTGGATCATCTTCCAGCACCCGGGAGAGACCAAAATCAGAAACTTTGCATACTAAGTTGCTGTTGACCAATATATTCCTAGCTGCTAGATCACGATGAACATAACCCATATCAGAAAGATACTTCATTCCAGATGCAATGCCTCGGAGCATACCAACTAACTGGATGACAGTGAAATGGCCATCATGTTTCTGAAAGAGAATCACAATTGTTTACATTGATTTATTTTAATGTAGCATGTGTGCATGTGGGCATGCACGTGTGTGTGTGTGTAGCATTAAGGAAAACCTTGGAATTTATTTTACTGGATCCAATGAATACAAGCATCAAATTTGCTGACCATGAAATGTAAGAATGTTTTGACATTTAAAGGAAAGGAAAATCTAGCTGGAAGTGATGAAGGAGAACAAACAAAGGATAGAAGAGAACCAACCAAATGAACTTCCAGAAAGACTGATTTCAAAAACTTTAAGTAACAAGAGGGACCTATGTCAAATTAGGTAGCAGCAATGACTACCAAGAGAACAGAATTCACTTTCCATAATTGTGACTGATGCACCAGCTGTACAGGTGGGCGGAAGGACAGCAAAAGCTAGGATTGAATAAAAGCTGTGTAATAACTTGAAAGGTGAAAAATGATTACTCAGGAAAAAGAGGACTTGTTTGCATAAACAAGAAACAAGTTTAGGGAAGCTATAAGAAAGAGAGAAAAAAATACATGCAAACAGAAAATAACTAGATTTTCCCATTCTTTCATTATATTTAGAGCAAATAGAAAGGAAGTTGTTGGCAACTGACTGAAAACAGGACTATTTTAGCTCCCAGTTGGAAAGATTAAGTGAAATCATATGAATAACAAGCCAGGCACAGCACTGGTATGCAGCTCAATCCCTTGATTGCCTATTCTTCTCATCTTGATTTAAAAATAACATTTTTTAAAGGAAAAATTCAGTTGTCATCCATGCAAGATGTGTGCACCAATAAGACCAGACAAACAGTACCTAAAAATTAGAGAAAAATAAAATAAAAATATTTCAAGTTTGAAAAATCATGCATATTGCTCTACATAGTTATTTGGGGATAGTTGTCTCCAAAGGAGTTATAGAGAAACATGAAAGATTCTCGAGTTGGTTTTATACTCTAGGTAACATTTATTTATGAATGTTATTAAAATGAATATCTAGCAAAAGACTATTGAGCTATATTACCTTATACAGTGTGGTAGATGCATAAATAAGAGTTATCTTAAAATTTGCAAAGTTATAGCAGTTTTCATGGATAGCTGATTTAAAACTACAGCATGGGTTAAATACAGGGGTGATCTGACTGTATCACAGTGACACAGTATCCTATACAATGATGATTCACTGGTCAGTTAAATGAATAAGCTTCTACTACAAATGAAATAAACTTTGTCTTTATATCAACTTATCTCCCTGATAACTCTCTGATAATATCTCCCAACTCAAGTGCAGAGTAAGGAAAAGAACCCTCTCTTAAAAGAAACATTCTAGAGCAAGAGTATCCATTTAAGCAGGCTCTTCTGTATAATTAATGTATAAAAGATAACCTAGCAAAGAAAATCTTTGGTGTTATTACCTCTTTATGTTTCCAATCCATCTTCCTAGACAGGGTACTATGAGATGAAATCTGCCTCTTCTATCATGTACCCTACCTACCTCTCCTCTATTAGGACTCTCAAAACCTTTCAGTAGAATTCAAAGCATAAATTCTTTTGGCCTAGAAAGGATTACACTAAATTTAAAGAGGTGGCTTTTTTACCTATTAGAAATGAAGTTGCCTGGTATCACAGTTCTCATCAATGCAGAATTTCTGCATGGTAGGAAATGTTAATGGACCATCTGAAAACTAAGGAATGCCTCAGTTTTCTTATCTGTACAATGAGAATAGAATAATCTAACTCAGAGGTGCAGTGAATATCACATACAAAACACATAGCACAGCCCCTGACTTATTTTAATTATTATTTTAATAATAGTTATTATTTAATAAAACCTTGTTGTACTACAATTACATGTAGTTCATGTAATTTTAATATGGGTCAGAAAATTCTCCTCTCACATTCCTGAAAAATCAGTTGAGCAACTTAAACTCCTACATCATAAAAGGAAATCATTATTTAATTCCAGGTTGAAATATAATTTCCTATCTGATCTGAGAGTGACACAAAGCACCAAGTTCTTTCTTTCTTTTTTTTTTAAATTGTAATTTTTTTATTGGAAAAAATATACAACTTGGAATGGATTTGAGGCAAATTGTGCCATAAGCAGATTTTCTTTAAGTGGCTAAACAAAGTTTAAAAAGCAAGTAACAATAAAAGAAAATGTTTCTGGTATAGGACCAGCAACTTTCTTCTTTTTTAAGATTACTTCTTTAGAGCACTTTTAGGTTCATAGCAAAATTAAAAGAAAGTATAGAGATTTCCCATATATCCTCTGCCCCCACACATGCATAGCCTCCCCCATTATCATTCCCTCACCAGGGAACAATATTCTTGGTATTCTATACGCTATGGGTTTGGCCAAATTTATACTGACATAAACCCATTTTATACCACACAGAGTATTTTCACTGTCTTAAAAATCTTCTGTGCTTCACCTATTCATCCCCAGCTCCCCAAACCTTGGCTACCAATGATCTTTTTAGTTTCTTCATAGTTTTGCCTTTACCAGAACGTTATATAGAAAATCCCACCGTAGGTAGCCTTTTCAGTTTCTTTCACTTCATAATATGCATTTAAGTTTCCTCCATGTTTTTTCATGGCTTGGTGGCTCCATTCCTTTTAGTGCTGAATAAAATTCCTTTGCATGCACAACAGTTTTATTTATCCATTCACCCACTGAAAGACATCTTGGTTGCTTCCAAGTTGTGGCAATTATAAATAAATAATTATAAATGTTTATAGCATGTTTATAGCTGCAGGCTTTTATGTGGAAAATGGAAAATATGTTTTCAACTCCTTTTGTTAAGTACCAGGGAGGGCAATAGCTGGTATGTTTAGTTTTGTAAGAAACCCCCAAATTATCTTCCAAAGTGGCTGTACCATTTCACGTTCCTACCAGCAATGAAGGAGAGTTCCTGTTGCTTCACATCCTCACCACCATTTAGTGTTACTAATTTTGGCCATTCTAATAGGTGGTATCTCATTACTTCAATTTGCATTTTCCTGATGACATATAGTATGAAGCACCCTTTCATGTGCTAATTTTCCATCTGTATATTTTTTGTGGAGTGCCTGTTAAGGTCTTTGGCCCATTTTTAAATTGGCTTGTTTTCTTATTGTTGAATTGTAAGAGTTCTTTGTAGATTTTAGGTAAGTCCTTTATCAGATGTGTCTTTTGCAAACATTTTCTCCCAGTCTGTGGCTTGTCTTCTCATTTTCTCAACATTGTCTTTTGCAGAGCAGAAGTCTTAAATTTTAACGAAGTCCAGCTTATCAGGTTTTTTCTCTTGGATTGTATCTTCGTAGTTGTATCTAAAACATCTTTGCCATATCCAATGTCATCTAAGTTTTTCTCCTATGTTATCTTCAGGGGTTTATAATTTTGTGTTTTACATTCAGGCCTGTGATCCATTTTGACTTAATTTTTGTGAGAGGTGTAATGTTCTGTGTCTAGTTTTTTGTTTTTAATTTTTGCATGTGGATATCCAGTTATCCCAACACCATTTGCTGAAAAGACAATTTTTGCTCTATGGTATTGCCTTTGCTCTTTTGTCAAAGACTAGTTGACTACATTTATTACAGACTTTCTATTCTGTTCCACTGACCTGTTTGTCTATTCTTTCACCCTTAGCACACTGTCTTGATTCCTGTTTACATCTTCAAGTCGGGTAGTATCAGTCCTCCAACTCTGTTCTTTTTCAATACTGTGTTGGCCATTACACGTCTTTTGCCTCTACATATAAACTTTAGAATCATTTTGTCGATATCCACAAAATAACTTACTGGAATTTTGATTGGGATTGCATTGAAAATATATATCAAGTTGGAAAGAACTAACATTTTAATAATATTGAATTTCCTTAATTATGAACATGGAATATGTCTCCTTTTATTTAGTTCATGATTTTGTTTATTAAAGTTTAGGTTTTCCTCATATAGCTCTTGTACATATTTTGTTAGATTTATATCTAAGTATTTCATTTTGGGGGGTGTTAATATAAATGGTATTGTGTTTTTAATTTCAAATTCCACTTGTTCATTGCTGATATGTGGGAAAGCTATTGACTTTTGTATATTAACCTTGTATTTGGCAACCTTGCTATAACTGCTTATTAGTCTAATTGTTTTGGTCAATTCTTTCAGATTTTCTACATGGATACCATGTTATCTGTGAATAAGGACAGTTTTATTTTTTCCTTCCTAATCTGTATACTTTCTCCCTCTTTCTTGTCTTACTGCATTAGCCAGTACTTCCAGTATGATAGTGAAAAGGAGTAGTGAAACTGACATCTTTGCCTTGTTCCTGATCTTGGTGAGACACCTTTAAGTTTCTCATCATTAAGTATAATAGCTGCAGGCTTTTTGTATATATAGTCTTTATCAAGTTTAAGAACTTCCCTTCTATTTCTAGTTTACTGAAAGTTTTTATCATAAATTGGTGTTCAATTTTGTCAAATATATTTTTCTTTTTTATATGATTTTTCTTTTTTAGTCATTTGATGTGATAGATGACATTAATTCACTTTTGAAAGTTGAACTGTTCTTGCATACCAGGGTAAATCTCACTTGGTTGTAGGGTGTAATTCTTTTATATAATGTTGGCTTGAATTTGTTAATATTTTGTTCCAAGTTATTTTTTAACAGGTTTATTAAGGTATGATTAATATACCATACAATTTATACTTTTAAACTACACAAATTTATCATTCTTAGTGTATTCACAGAGTTGGTGTAACCATATAGCCATATATATAACCATTATAGCCATAAGTCACCTTTAAAACTTTTTCATGATTCCCAAAATAAACTTTATACTCACTGGCAGTCATTCTCCATTCTCCCAACTTCCCCTACCAGCCTTAGGCAACTACTAATTAACTTTCTAGAGTTTTGTCTATTTTGGATATTTCATTTAAATGTAACCATAAAGTATATGTTCTTTTGTGACTGTCTTCTTTCACTTAATATAATGTTTCAAGTTTCATTCAATATTTTATATTATTTTTA